AATAATAATAATAATAATAATAATAATAATAATAATAATAATAATAATAATAATAATAATATAAAGCACGTACACGCTCAACACTAATTTCGCCGAAACACGAACAAATTTTAGCTCTGAGCAACAACATATAGTTATTCAGATATACAATCATATACTTAGTTAGTAATAAAAACTCATATACTTCAGATAGTAATAAACTTGTATAATAAGTCCAAAAGTAATGTAGAACATAAAAGTGTATAAAGTATATCTTAATTAATATTGTAAATAAATCTTAATTTATATTCAGGATTGTAAAAAATTGAATATCCAAGGCAATAATAGGAGGGGTGACATTAATTAAAACTATTTACTTATATAATATTCACTATGTTTTTTACTTCACGCACTGATGTAATCGAATGCGAGGAGGAATAGTGTCTGAAAATTGTATATTATTATCTTTCTTTATTTCAATGCTATTTGTATCGAGACCGACACTTTTAGGTGAAGTCAGTAAATTACTATCTCTTCCATTGCAGAATAAATTTTTTTTTTGTTTACCAGCATTATAAACGACAATTTTCGTTACAAGAAATCGTTCATAAATTGAAATTTATGACACAGCGCGTCCTCTCCACTTGCATTAACCGCCAGTCTTTCCAGGCCTCCCTCCCGCCATCCTCCCCGCCCACCCATTCTCCCTGCCCATCCTCATCGCCCGTCCTCCCCAACTGCCCTCACTGCCATTCTTTGCCGTTTTCCCTGCCGCCTGTCCTTACTGTCCTGGTCGTGCTCTCTGGCCTTCCCCCTGCGTGACTTCATAATTCCAACTAGCGTGTAGCCCAATGCAAAACTGCTCCTAATTTTTTTCTCTTTTTGTAAAATTAATTTTGGTTCTTTTATAAATTTATAATGCTGTTATACCCCCCCACACACACACACACATTCACACACAAAGTATACAACTCGCACAAGTGTTACGTGTGAAAACGCTCCTAATGTCGCTCGTTTTCAGATCATATACTCATGCAATAAAGCATAATACTATAAACAAACTGCATAATTTACTATTATTCTGTCAATAAATAAATAAAATTTAATTTAATGATGGATTCCGTTTAATTAAAGGTTACATAGTTGTGTTAAAATAGTTATATTTCGAAGTACCTTTTTGATTTCGGTATAGCATTCGGTCTCGTTTGAACATTTTTAACATAAAAATTAAGGATTTTTTTTTTTTTTTTTTTTGTAAGTAATAATTTGTGTTCACAATTTAGCGGATCTTACGCACAACACGACAACCTTGCTGCAATCTAGTGACAAAAGTGGTAACTCTTAAATAGCATTTGTTTCTTCGATGAATAGGCGGAACATTTAACTCTGTGGAAAAATGAATACATTCTTCAGTACAGAATTAAAAGAAATCTTAGTTTTTGATATGTAATTTACTCCACCCAATAGTAGCTTTAATGTAAAAGTTCACTATACGTGTTGGTGTTAAATACTATTTTCAATGTAGAAACTACTTACAACATTGTGTAGGTTTCAGTCAGTCACGTCTTACAAGTCAACACTTTTTTTACTTTATTGCAGTTTTATCAATTTTTTAACACAATTGACATTGAAAATTTTAATAATTAATTTATTGTAAATGAAACATCTAAAAGAAATAACAAATTTCTTAAGCAAATTTAATTAATTTTTTCATGTAAATGGGATATTATTGGAAAATATTACAAAGTTGTTGAATTTCATATATACAAGCATTGAACAAATATTTGAGTATTTCTTTCGGTTTTGAGGCATGATTGGTAGATTTGATGTTGTAGTTTTGGAGAATGTACTTGAAAAAATGTAGTACATTAATTTGAAATGGATTTAGGGATTGTATGGATTTTATAATATTAATATTGAAATATGAATTAAGACACATGTTAAAATAATTTCCTTCCACTTTTTAGATATGCACGCTCTAATGCAAAAGCAGAAGGCAATGCTGGTTTGAATCAACAGACTCCAGCACGTCCTACTCGCCCTCGAAGACAAGCTGACAACTCTGGAACAAATCAGCTGTGCCCTACTACTCGTAGATTCATTATGCCCAAAGCTGCGATGAATAATCAAGGCAATTGGATGTATGTAGTGAATCTGAATGAAGTGGATGATCGTTATACCCAACTGGTTGGCACAGAAACTTGCGTGTAAGTGCTGATGTTTATTTTTAGTGTTTTTCTCTTTGTAAGATGTAATTCTCAGTCTTTACACATTTCTTACGATGTTTATTATTATATTTTCATCTACTCAATATTATAACATAATTCCTAGCTATAACTTTTGAAATAATTAGATGTTCCTCACTCTAATTTACAGTAACATGTCTTAGTTTACATACAGAATTTTGCAATTTAACTTAACACATCAATGTATTATGTTTTGTCATACTGATAAATAAAATTAGTACTGGTAATTCTTTGCAAATCGTTCTATTTTATTTCATATATATTTCAATTTTTAGGACTAAAATTTGTTTTGGTGTTCTAATACATCTTATTAAATCTACAGTAGAACCTCACTAATCCAAACCCCGCAAATCCAAAGTTTTGGATAATCCAAACAAAATCAGGTTGGAGAAAAAAATAAAATAAATAAAATGCTTATATTTTAATGTACAGAAATAATTTTATAATTGCTGTAGAACTGAACAATTAATTATTGAAACACAAGTTGTTCAAATGAAACTTTTATTCCAGTGGTAACTACGGTGTATATCAAATGTATATGAAGAAGTATTTTTCATTCAGAGAAATTTGCAAAATCTGTAATCTTTTTTTGACCAAAGGAACTGAATCTGCTTGATGATGCGATGTGATGATGTGATGATGTGATGATGTGATGGCTATGCTATTTTGCCATTTTCTCACATTGCATGCTACATTACACTCTAGTCTCTGGTAAACCTACAGGCATATTTGTATAAGTACAGTACACTTTTCAGATAACCCAAACATTTCCAAATCTGAACACACCACACCCCCAATTAGTTTAGAATACTGGGGTTGTACTATATATATAATGAAAGCAATGCATTTCTTACCAATATAAATGCACAAGTGAAATCAGATAAAGCAATAAATTATAATTTTCAAGAATGACTACACGTGAAAATATAATAAAATAGTCTTGCAACAATTGTAAAAATAATTGTAGTAGTCCAGTTCTTAATCACTTACAATTTTCACACTTAAATTGTTTTATGAGATTAGACCTTATTTTAGGAAAAAATTTCTGGTTTTCTGTGTGAGATTAGTTTTGGTAAATTTTATTTTAATGATTTGGTTATGGAACAGATTATTTAAATTCTAACTAATCAAATGTTATATCTAAATGTTAGATAAATTCTTGTATATCTTGATTTATACAATGATGATTTTAATAAAATTATCATGCAATGTTGTACGATTAAACTTGCTCAATGTGATAAATGGGTAATGTGGAAATCCCTCCAATATGGACAGAAACTTTGGTCCTGGAAAATGTTTTCCATTATTTGTATAAAGTGGAAGATTGTTAAATATGGAAAAAAATGCTGACTCTTGAAATTCCACTCTGAACAAGTTTTATTGTAGTAGTAAATTTTATGTTAATCATACTTGTAAACTATTTCCATGGTATTTTTAATAATGGCAACTTTGTTGTCAAGAACTCTCATTGAAAAATTTCTCCAAAATAATTAATTAAGGACACAAACAAAAACTGTTAAATAAAGCTAAATAAATGAATATTCCTTTGCATAAGAATTGACACTAATGGACCAAACATATGCAAAGGGAAAAATTGGTTTGTTCATTACCTGCATAATCATAAACATTGTGGAGTTCTGTGAAAACATTGTTCTTCTGTTTGGTAATTACCAGATTCAGGGATACTGAGAGAAAATATTTGCCCAGTACAAAGAAAGTAGTATGTGAGTAGTTTTAAAAATTTGAAGAGGCATGCATACATGTGAATTAATTGATTGGTTAATTGATGTTTCTAGTCATGTCAACTGTTGTGGTCATTAATCCCATTAGTTTAGTGAATGATACATGGAGTTAGGAGTGATTCCTTACCCGTTCATTTGTAAGATCTGATGTCGACCTACATGTTCGCTTGCATGGAATTTCAACTTCCAGGTATCTCCTCCCAGCAGGGCATTGCCCCAGCCAGGTCAAGTTCTGACTGGTCCTCCAATGAATGTGGTAGACTAGTGTGTGTTAGTGTAACTGTATTTGTATAAGGGAAGAGGAGGATAGAACAAGGAAGTGTAAGTGAATATTGTGAGTGGTCTATGACCCATTTGCTAGGATACTGCTCCAACATTCTCGTTTTGATTAGAGAAACCATGGAAAATTACTGATCAGGAGAATTCTCCTCCAGAAAGCGGCTTTATGCAACTCCTTGGTCCACTTTTCTGAAGTTGCGGTATCTAAGAACTTGACATTATGTGCACTGTACCCACACATAACTCATAATTTTGAAAATATATTAACTTGTAAAGTTGAAAGAGAAATTATTTGAATAGGATAAAAGTGAAAGGTTGCATTGGTCTAACTCAGCCCCTTTGAGCTCCATATGCTCCATGGTTCTCCTTGAGATTCATGGACCTTGGAGTAATGTATTGCGTACACCTCCCTTCCCTGAGGCCTTACCAGATTACAGTAGTGATAATAAAGATCCATAATGAATCCTCAAATGTAATGAATAAAAGAAATTTGTTTTGTAATGACATTAAATTTCAAAATAAATGCAACTCAGATTATAGTTAATACAACATTATCATTGTGTAGAACTTTACATTGAAACAAACTAGGCAGAGAGCAATTTTTTCGTTAGAATAGTAACTTAATGAATATCAATTTAATCTTTCAGGTTTTTCATAAAATTAGTATTTCATATTATTATTGTTTTAATAATTGTATCATTAATGTGAAACATGAAATTATTCATCGACAAAGACAAAATTCACCTCAAAGTAGAAAACGACAAATTTATGCTTACACCCTGTCAATTTAATTCTAGTAAGAATTTTCTCTGTGAATCCAATTTTTAGTAAAGGATGCATAGAAACTTAAAACAAAAAAGATAGTATTTTAGTAAATCAGTTAATTGTTGTTCTTGCATTGATATATGTTTTGCCCTACTTTTAAGTCAGAGAAGTAAATGAGTTTTCTTCCACTTCTAGATACTTGATGCAATCCAATGCATCAAATGACTTGTGCAAATTTTGCTTTCATTTTTTTTTTATTTTCAGTTCAAATCGTTGCAATGGAATTTGCTCTCTTCCAAATGGATATACATCAAGATGTGAGCAACAGTATGTTCAGAAGAGACTCGTAGCCTTGGAGCCAAGTGGAAATCAGCTGTATACAGATGTCTTCTGGTTTCCACACTGTTGTGTGTGTCAAATCACACAAACCGGTTAACATGTTTGATTTGTGAATGAAATTTATAAATAAAGACTTATGAATTAATAATGCATTTTAGATAACAAGTGGAACATAAATGTACTCTTTTGCTACTTCATTGTGACACTTGTTGAATTTTAATATAACTGAAATGTATGAATTCATCATTACTGCCAAAACAAAGACTTCAGCTAAACAGATAATTGAATTAGCAGAGTTATATTGTTCAATACCATCAATTTTTGTATATAATACAATCAGTTTGGGTTAGATAATGCATTATGAAATGTTGTTAAATTCAGCTCAAACTATTAGCAATAATTTTCAATGTTTCTTGATAAAGCTGAAAATTTAATCTAAGAATCTTGTATTAATGTGAAGAAGTGAATATTAGTAATATCAACCAACTTTTCACATGGTAATGTTCAAATTGTGAAAATAATTCATCATCTCTTACAAGTGTATTAGCATTGACCCAAGTATTTTGTGAATGTCTCCAAAGCTATTCATGGTATAATGAATAGGATTTCTGATATATGGTTCACTTATGGAAGAATATATTATTTGGTGTGAAATGTCAAGAAATCTAGTGATAAATCTATCATACATTTACCATAATTTTCTATCATTCATGTATATCTTCTTTTGTTCATGTACATAAAAAAATCATATAATTTCATCTAATGATATTAGTTACCAATACCAATGGGAATATTGTATGAAACACAGATCATCATTGATTCTATAATAAGACAGGATTCATTTCTTTTTTCATAAAATGTTTCATTACCAAGTAATGGAAATGGAAAATAAACTTCTAAACTTCAAATTTCTTTCCTTCTGCTCTGTGAAGATGTTTGTTTCATAATAAAACTACTTTTTCTTTCATTTTATATTATTGTTTCATGTATCAGAGATTTAGCACTATTGTATTCCAATGATCTGCCAAAAATGCTTGTTTTTCTTCTTCTTCAAGAATTCAACTATTATTTTCAGTAGTGTTTTCTTACATCATTACTCCATCAGGTTGAAGATTGACACCAAAATGAAAAAGAGTGTGCCAAATGTTGATATTTAGAGTTTTTCATTTATAAAAGTGTGTTTGCTGACTGTTGCTAATGTTGAAAACGATGTACATAAGAGTTGTGTGAGGCACACAGTTGTACATCCAGACATTAATGACAAAAAATTTAACTTGTTGTTCGTTGAAGTTGATAAATTTAATTATTATGAGTTACTTTAGATTTCTGTAAGTATAAATATATCCTAAGTTTTCTTAAACACCAGCACCAAGACCACAATGAAATATTCAAAATATATAATTATTTTCTTCCCTTCTGTGTAAAAAGAAAAAAAAATGGTTATTATTTTGTGACAGTTTACTAAAAGACAGTTTTATCACATATATGTAAATGTATGTACCAGCTACAATGCTACTTATATTGTAAATCAACTCTTTCTTTTCCAGGGATTCCAACAGTTTTTTTAAAGTGGGTAATAAAATGAAATATTGAATGGCTGCCTATGTACCACCTTTATTGTGTTTTTTAAATTTCTGTAATTGTGGAAATAGCCAGAATATGTATCTCTTGTATGAAGAAAAGTTTTATTTAAGAACTGTAATTTTTAATATATAGATGACTGCAACATTATTTTGAACTACTCCATACTTCAGTCTTCAAAGATTTTGTCTTGCAAAACAAGTCTTGCTTACTTTTTCCTAATTTAGTATTCCAGAGAGAAAAAATAATTGACAGCAAATATGGTATATATTTTTATTGGTAGAATTAATTCCAAAAATGTTAATGACGTAATTTAATTCCAAACCAAATACAATGAATTCTTCTCATAAACTAGGATCTCCTGAGGGCTTTCAAAATACAACAAATTATGGTTGTGCTGTAATAAACATAATATGTCAAGTTAATTGGATGTAGAATAAAATGTATGTTGAATGTTGATGCATATTTTTATCTTCATGGTATGTGAAATATTTATGAATTTCTATACAAATACTTACTTGCAAGAAAGAATGAAATAAAAAAACAAAACAGGAATTTGTGACAGTGGCCTCAGCATTTATAAAATTATTTTACAATTTATTCGGTCACATTCTTCCACTTTGACTATTGTAAAATCACTTAGAAATTGTAGCTGAATATTTTTCTATTCTGTAAGCTTTTCCACTGATGCTATAAAATTCCGGTTTTTGTGGTATTTCTCAGTATTTCATTGCATTAAAAACCATTGATATTTTTTCAATATTTCTTTAAAGGTACATTTTATATAGTGAGTAGTATTAAAATTTGTTTTGTATAATTTTTATTTTCTAATTTTAAGCTTGAAAAAAAGTTTACGATGATATTTGTGGATATGTGGAACTAAGGGTCTGAAGATAAATGAATTCAGATAATTCATATTTCTTTTTAATTGTAAGGTATTGAGTCTTCACAGATGATGAAAAACTGATGTTACAAAAGACTTTTTGTAATAAATTGAACACTACTTTTGAAGAGATTTTTTTAGTTTAACCAGTTATATACAAGTTTGTTAATGGTAATTGTATTATAAATGTAATGTATGTTGTGTGTGTTAGAAGAAATGTTTGAAGGAGAAATCATTAATATCACATTTAATATATGTGGTATATAATAACATGTACGAAGCTTCTACTCAGATGATCAGAAAACATTAAATAGGAACCTATGTGAAGAGACATGGAAAACCCACAATGATATCTTTGGTGTGAAGTAATGATAGCCTGCATTTATTATGTGACCCTAGATATTTCATAATTTCCAAGTAAATTATTTGCCCAACTTGTAGGCCAATATCTCCTTAAGGCCTTCAGCATTCTCCTGAAATCTAGAGCGGTTCAATGTATCCAACCTTTCCCTCAGGGAAATGCACACTTCAGTTGTTCAGTGCTGAAAAAGATTAATAATTAATTGCAAATGAGTAAAAATTCTTAAACTTTTAAACAAGATCATATATACTTTCAGTATTCCAATGTTTAATTATAAATTTCTTTCCATGAAAATACATTTCTTTAACAATTCCTTCCAGTTAAAAAATGTTATTCCATTTAAAGTTCATCACACATTATTTTTCTGAATTTCGAATTTCTGATATTGAAGTCAATTCCATTACAGCAAATGTTCAACTTCAGCAAACTCTGATACTTTTAGAATTTTACTTATTGATGATGAAAATCTTTCAAATCCTGATATTGCTATAATCTCAATAACTTAAACGATATAATTTTGTAAGAGTGTGCTATTTTGTTGATGTAGATTAAATTTTTTTTGTTACTGCAAAATGAATTGGCTAAAATTGTGTGCACCTATTTTCAATTAAACAAAATACTGTACAAGGATATGTAATGTTTGTGAAAGTGGGTTTTCATTGTTTTATAGCTTCTTATCCTTTGCAGGACAGTATTCAATTCCTTTATTGATATTTCAAAATGCCATTTTATAAGCAAAGTAAGTTAATGAATAAATGTGTATGTGAGATACAAATAATTATAACTTATTGCATGATCCCCTTCAGTCTTTTTGTTCATCATATTTTTCAATACATATTTTATAAAAAGACCAGGAAAAATAAACTACAGGAGAAAATTCAGTCATTAAGATTTCTTTTTAGTGAGGAATCCAACACACCAATAAGGACATTTAACAACTAGAAAATAAAATGAATCCAATATAACAATTCTGTACTCAAATGATAAACTTCTAAGGAAACATTTTCTGTGAATCTATGATAAATAAATATTTGCATACAAAACTAGCACGATTGCATAAAAGTAGAGGCTACAGAAATGTTGAATCTTGGGAAGAAAGCATTTCTAAATCATGAAACTGCTGTAACAAATAATCCTTATAATGGAACAAAGTGGAGAGAAAAAAAAAGAAAAATCTCAAGTGTATCTTTGAAACATTTTTGAAAGTTAGTATTTTTTAATTATTTTTATTTGTTTAAATTATAATGAATACTCTTGATAAATATAATGTTTACACTATTCAATTATTTTATAATGTTCCTACTTAGAGTAGTATACTCTACTAGTTTGGATTTACACATTCCATTCTCTGTCAGTCCTTTTATATCTATTTAAATAGAATCATAATAACATTCCTTTGAATACCTTAGGCGCTACTTTAACAATAAAGTAATTTTTCATCATCAGTGTCCATTTTTATTCAATTTTTAAATTTAATTAGTAGCCAGACACAGCAAAAATGCTGCTGAACAAAACTGTACAATTTGGTTTTCCGAAACAGCATACACTCTGCTCAAGAACAATAAATAAAATATTCTTGTATAATTCTACAGTTAATTAAAAGTTATTAAAACAGTATTCACAAATATTGCAATAATATAGTCTATAGGGTTGAGCAATACTTTAAATTTAGTATTTAAATACTTCACCACAATACTCTGTAATTAAGTATTTAAATACAAACTGAAAATACATTAGGTTTTGATTTGCTAAATACATATGTATTTAAAATACTCGAAATACTCAAAATACACACAATATATTTAAAGGCTTTATGTAAAAAAGGATGCAAGTGCCATTTTCATACTATACATACTAAACCTATTTGCAAATACAACTCCTGCCATTTATAATCACTCTGTAACACTATGAAGAAATGTGTCTAAACTTTGGTTTTTATTTACGTTATAGTGCTTGATTCATTCATAATTATTCTGATAAAAATGTAAATTTAACATAAATGGCACATACATACATTTTTATTTCAAGTCTTCTATTGCATCATGTATTTTTTATTGTAACAATATATTGAAATTGTCAATTACAAGAAATTAGTAGTCAGTCAGTAAATTAATTGGAAGTCATGAAATTTCTTCTTCTACCAACAAGGATTAGGATTTAACCTGTTTCAAGGGCCACATCTTCTTTGACCTGCCTACATCTCTGCTTCCTTGTGGAATATATTGAAGAGCTAATGCTGGCAAATTCTTATTAGTCATCCTTCCCAAATATTCACACCATTTAGTATGTATTTTATCTAATACAAAATTCTTAACAAAAACTAACTATACCATATATGTACTCTTAATGTAATGAGACCAAAAAATCAATGAAAATAAACAAAAAGAAATCAGGCATATCTGGCTTAATTATTCCATGAACTTTTGGAATGAAAGCAAAATTAAGATCCATGAATTTTACTTTTCCTTTCTCGCTACTGCTACTGCGATAGAGAGAAAGTTATCTAATGCTACATGAATTATTATTAAAGTACTTTTCATTGTTTTTTTTTTACACACTTATTTCATGAATTTAAATATATCTCAAAAATACAGTTTTTCAAATATGAAATGTATTTAAAATATGTACTATTTCAAATATAAGTACTGCCCAACCCTAATAGTATACTATATATGGATACATATTGATTGTGATTGTGATTGAGTGTGATTGTTCTTTACATACCAAGAATACCAAGAAGTTGTTGTTCCATAACACAACACATGAACAACAAATATTTAATGGTGAGTAGCTCCTTCATTGAAGTTTTTCTGTCATGTGACATCAAACATGCCGTAAGCACTAATGCACTGAGTTTGAAAATTCAGTTAGTATGTTCAGTTTGAGAATATCGCAATCAAATATTAGAATATTTCAGCCCAGTGACTATGGAAGAGTCCAATGACTGTTTCACAGTCATTGGGCTTGTGACAGGGGTTTCACAGTCAATGCGAGTTCCTGGATATCTAACAAAGCCTTAGATACCTTTAACATGATCAGAAGCTACATGGGTTTCTTTCGATTTCTATGTATACATTGGAAATTATTAATAGAGATGTTTTGGATTTTTCCTGAGATTCTGGGAATATAGACACTTTTCAAAACGCTGGATGTGGCTTTGATTTATTTCAATTTCTCCACAAAATGGGAGTTAATAATATAGATTAAACTGCTGTTTCGCTTGTATTGCTCTTCTATGTTCTGTATTCTAGGTTCTTTTCAAGTATTCAAGGTTGATGTTCTCTTTTTAGTAACTAACAGAGAACCTAATAAATTAATAAAAAGGCTACAAATCTGTAGGATTGTAACTGGTGTATGACGAAATATTTTCTTCCTGTTACACCTATTTACACCACTTGGTTATGACATCACTAAATAATATTAAAATAATTTCAGGAATATATCAAGACCACCTTCCAAACTTTTGTACAATATTGTTTCTAATTAACATACATAAATAAAAGTAAGTAAAAGAATAATACCCTACTTATTTTCAAATACAGGTCTTAATTTCTCTGAAAGCAACAAATGAAAACAGGTTTTCATATAATCTCTTGATAAGATACATTCTGAATCGTTTTTTCAAAATATATTTGAGAACCTGATTTTAACATAGAAGTTAACCAAACTGGTATTCTTAAATAAGTTTTTCCTCTTATTAGAATGAATAGTATTTTAAACCAATAGATATTCTTGATTTGGTTTACTTGATAATAGCGAAATTAAATATCAACACATTGTTGAAAGCAGAAATATTTGGAGTTCAGTATTTATTTAGCTTGATAAATGTAAGTTCACAACCAGAATGTATATTTAAAATATGTTTTTAAATTATTGAACAGAATACAACCAAGTGTCACCAGCTTTTTCTTATCACTGACATTTTCATAGTGGGCATACTAGCTACTTCCACTTTCAGTTGTCATGGCAATTCTATGTGCAAACTGGCTCAGGAATTTTACCAATATCTTTCACTTCATTATTAATATTACAATAACATTAATAAAATTAAAAGGAATATTAAATGTTTCAAGGCTAAAGTCAGTATTTCATTTTAGAGCAGATTTTTCAACAATTTATTTTTCATGTTTATAATTAGTTAAAGGAAGTTAAAGAATTGACAATAATCAACTTAATAACCACCACAAAACAAAAATATATAATTTCTTCAAATTGTCAACAATGAGAAACAGAAAACCAATGTGATATCCTCAATTATTTGTAATTCTTTGATTACATTTTCATAACAATAGGAGTTTGAAAAAAATAATGTCTTTGATTATTTCATTGCATCAAACAAAATTTTCACACAATCAACTTTTTCTGTAAAGTCATAACTGAAATATGAAATTTATATTTAGATTATGGATTTTTTTTTTCAAAACACACCTGCGTATTTTTGTTTTTAATTGAAGGTTGCTGTATATTTCTGCATATTAAAAAACATTTTTACAAAAGAAAAGGGGAAATGTAATAAATAATTAAAATACATTAAACATTTTTTTTTAAATAAGGGAAATAATTTTGAACAATTATTGTCTTTATCATGTATAGAATAAATAAAAAATTGTTTGGGAATTAAAACAAAAGTTCTTTTGAAGTTAATATACTTAGAATTAGGGAACATTATAATTCATAGTTTCTGCAATTAGTGAAACACTCTATCGCTGTTGGTTTCCAATGTAGAGATTGATTTCCAGCAGTTTCAAAACAGTGTCTAAACAGTGTAAATATGTCCAAAAATACTATGTTTAAAAAATTTATTTAATGAAATATTCTGTTCAATATCATTAAGCATTAGCACACATTTTTTAACATAAATTTTGTAACCCTTGTTGAAAGATGGTTTGGAAGAAAATTTTAAATATTCCTGCACAAACATTCTAACAAGGTCTTTCAACTTTAATCATATTTTCTTATTGGTTATATAATCAATTGAGGATTTTGATTTATCAAACATTGATATAATTCAGAGAAAATTTTCCCCATAGCACCTGTTGCTTTCTAGCTCATCAACAAATCACACATATAACTAGCTCTCTGCTTATTTTATTCACTTTCAATATTCCGCTTAATAAATTATCAGGTCTGATGAGCTATTGAGACAGCATTGAAGATGTAATTAGATTGATTTAATTTGTGTATAGCGTAAAATATCTTTACAAAAATAAAATATTTTTAAAACATGATTTCTTCAATCAACAATTGTTTTGTTTATCATTTCAATGATTTATTCTGACACAAAATCGCAATGAACATTTTTAAGCATTGTACATTGGTTTTTAGTAAACTATTTGTTTTGTTTAGTATATTTTAAGCTGCACATTTGAATATTGTTTAGTGGATATATTATGGCACATTTTAGTAATTTTTATAGCATATAAATCTGAACTCAACTGATAATAGTATCATGAAAATATTGTGTAAGATCTGAGAAGGATTAATTTACTTTTATCATCTTTAATAACGCATGTAAACATGAATTTAGTTTTTCACAACAATACATTTTAATAATGAAGGAGTGTAATTCTTCTTCATTGACAGATTTTTGACTGGATATTCTCTTCCTTAGATAATAATTATGGAATATTAAATTATATATGGCTGATAAAGTGTTGTGAGCTTACAAGCAATTATTCAATTACACATCAAATAGGAAAGTAAAAAGAGGACTAAAAAAAAGAATGCCCTAAGGAATTGGTAAACATAATGCAATAAAACAATCAAAACATCATTTAAAAATCATTACTAACCACCACTTCAAATTTAATATAAATTACTAGTTTAATTTTTCCATCAGTTATCAATGTAGAAGTGGAACTGACCTAAATTGTTATGAAGAAATTGGATTGTTGAAAAGGTAAGTGTTTTGATGCAAACTAAATTAATGGGAAAGATAATTTATAATAGGCAAATATACTAATGATAAAAATTAATGCATATTTAAAGAAGATAACAAATTAAATTTTATATACAGAGAAGTAAGGGACTGCCAATGTCCTTTATAAATGAAAATTGATAAAATGAACCCAAAATAATAATAACATTTAGGCTTTTGAGTTTTATATCAATTCTTAAAATAACTACATAGTTTTTATTGTAATTATGGCTACATAGTTTTACAATATGTAATATCCAATCATAAAATATTTCATATCATATAAAATTTTACATTAATATAAATTCATTTTACAGAAACATTTGCAAACTAATGACTAATAGATTTTAATAAGAAAGATTTCACTGTCAAAGAAAAAAATATTTTGTAATAATACATTCTTATTACTTCTACATAATTAAAACTTATACAATAGTGCACAAAACATAAATCAATGGACAACAAAAGATTATTTGTTCACAATCTATTATTACAACTTCTGTAATCAGTTCTACACTTAATAGTACAAATTAATTGAATTCTAGGTGAGATATCTTCATGAATATAAAAATTTTTTAATTGATGTTTCTTTATAATTAATTTATACTATCTGTCATAGTTTTACAGATGTCTTGATCAGTAATGAAATACTATCAGTATAGTACTCTTCAAATATAGGCATATTCTTCAGCTATGGAAGTCAGAGATGATATTAAAAGAACAAATGATTTTTTTAATACCAATGGTACTAAGTGAAATAATCTTTTGAAAGAAACAGAGGTAATGTTTTACACTATATGTACACACTTAATGTAGTATACGTTTATAATCAATATGACAAAAGTTTATATTTCAAGAAATAGTTAATATTCGTTTGAACCATTATATAATACTATTATTAATAATTGATATTTTAATTCAGTACAATTCATTTGAGCCCTATAATTTACCAATCTTTTTAAGGTTTAATTTAATGTTTGAATCACAATTCGTGTATTTTGGTAATGAACATCACGAGAATTTTATTTCGTGTATGTTAATCAAGAATAAACATATTGAATGTTTTAACACTACAATGTTTTTAAAAATTCAAATGATTTCTGACAACAATTGGCCCTCAATAATCGATGTGTTGCTGTCGGAGACGGGCTTTCTGTTATGATTTCGTGAGTTAATTTGACTATTGATCGCATTACAATATTATCGCGTAATATTTATAATATTAATAGCATAAAAATTGTTTCTAGTATTTTCTGATTCGAAATTAGATAAAATAAGGCATTATGTTTTTCGAACAATTTGTACAGAGCGGGAACTGAACATCGTTGTTACAATAAAAGCAGCATGCAATGCGTGCTAGTGTCGGTCTAGCGGCAGCGCGCAGAACTAACGTGACAGGGGCGCATTCAGTACTGCTCTCTTTTGAGCTCACGTGGAACCATCGCCCATTCTGGCTATTTGCAAACAAACTACAGCAAGCCGTTAGTGAACAACAAAGAAGACTCGTGGTGGGGCAGGCGCGCTGTACGTCGGAAGGAGGTAATATATTTCGTAGATGAGGGCATGCGATTTCTGAAAGGTGGTTCTTGTAGTAATGTATGAATTCAAATATGATATTGTCAGCCGAAAACAAGGTAAGTTTCATTTAAAAATCCCGTTTCTACTCGTACTTTAACACGCGAAGACAGCCATCGTGTTGTAAAGTGGTGAGAAAAAATACATGTGCGGAGGGTGGTTTACGTGTTCTGAAATATTTTTTGCGGCTTTTTATGATCGGTTGGCGTGGAATTTGTGTGTTGTCACGAATTAAAAGTCTGGCAATAGCGCATTCGCGTGGCGTGCGTGGTGAACACGCTGTTTCGTAATATTTCGAGGGTGGTTTTGTGTCAGTTGCTAAGAAGTCACTAAAAGTGAATATTTGATATAAAATAGAGTTGAGAATTTATTGTCTCGTATTTCTACAAGTTCGCTTTCTGGTCCTAGGTCGATTTTACGATGCCATCGTGCTTGTGAATGGGAAGCGCACTTTTTGCTCTTGTTTCGAGCGAGCGTAATACTCGTAGTACTACGAATACTTGAACAAAAAGAGTTGCCAGATACAGTGTGCCGACGATAATACTCGATGCATTTATTGCCTTCACAGTTCTTTATGAGGGTTGTCAGGAAAGGAGCGGTCTCGTGGAACGTGCTGGCGTAGGGAAGGTCAGGAAAAGTGAAGGTTGTTCGAGCGGCGATTTGAACGCTGCGTTCGTGTATGTAACAGCGTAAGCTATTACACGTACACGAGTGCTGCGTGAATGTGTGTAATTTATCTGTATTTAACAAATATGGAATATAATTCCGAAATTGCGCATCCACGAAGTGACGTGAATTTTCAGAACTGATTATTTGTGATCGGTTGGTTTTCTCCGGGAAATGTTACTTTTGATGTTCCTTACACCCCATTAATATAAAACTTAATTTCTTATGCACTATTTTATCTTAGGCGTATTAGTTACTAGTTTTCATTGAAAATTAATGGTTTACTTTTTGCTTAAAACTACTAGATGTGTAATCCTAGACTAGTAATAAAAATGTCTACAAATTAAAAATTTAAAAAAAATTGTTTTAATTTTCTAATGAATTTTGTAATTTTGAATATTTTGAAATTCAAAAGAAATATTACTCAAATTGAGTTCATTACTTAATACATACCACTATTTACATATAATTCAATATTAGAATGCATGAAGGTCTGCTTGTTGAGGCAGATATATTTTCAGACTATTTGTGTTTAATCTGTAGTTGTTACCCATGTAATAAAATTATTGCATTGAATTGTGTAAGAAGAAAAGTGATGCATCTTATAGAAGCAGCATTAATTTAAAAAAAAACTAAAATAAGTTAATTCATATGAAAATAGTTTGAAGCATATGAACTAATTATTTTGTATTATTTGTGTTTCAGTTACTGTGTTGCATGAAGAATAAGACAGGAGCCTGTGGCTGTTTTCTGCACGGGAGCCATGGGGGGAGAATGGGTATGGGGTCAAGATGAGTGAGGGAGGCAGCCAGGGCCCAGAGTCCCTGGGCCCTGCCTATCCTGGGACAGGAGGTGGCGGTGGCTACCAGCAGCCTCCATCTCAGCCTCCCACACCATCTTCCACCGTCCAAGACAATGGAGGTGGCTATAAGGAAGATTTCTCTGGAGTGGATGTAAATGGTACATCAAAATCTTCATCTTCATCAGGTCTTCCACCCTTTAGTTCATTCTCAGCAGCAGATGAAGCACTGAATTCACGAATGTCTGGGGACGCCTTTGGGGAAGGCCTCACCAGCCGCCTCCTGGATATTTCTTCGTGGGATTATTATGGCAGTGAGGGACTGGCTGGAAGGATTGTGGATAGACCAACTACAGATGGATTGCCCATGCTGGTACCACAGCCACAGTACCGTCCTTGGGAAAGCAAGGGTCCAGATAGCGTACATAATGACACGCTGCTCAAATCGATTGCACCGGCTCCACCCAGTGCAATCCCAGCCTTCACTGATTCATTTTCAGCCACCACGGCACAAAAACTTCCTTCCTTCCAGTCACAATTCAATGCCTTCCCGCAGGAGCAGACGGTTACTGGGAACAATGGAGAAGTGTTGACCACCCTAACGGCAGCCTCTCCTTCGCCTTCATCATCATCATCTGGGCTTCCTAGCTTCCATACTTTGTCAACAGTAAATCCACGTCCTGGATACCCTCTGGTGCCTGCACCGGTTCAGGCTAGAGAGATACCAGCCATTCAACAGCAGTTCCTTGATGAGCGACATATCCAACTGTTTGCTCATACTCAGCCTTTTGGTGCACCACATCCTCATCTTAATAATCAACCAGCTGTCGCCACATTAGGTAATGCTCAGTTTCACCATCATTCTCATCAAATCACTCTCACCCCACCTAACACTGCACCTCCTCTTCTCCCAGGCAATACTCTAGTCGCGCAGAATGCGCCCACTGTCCTGACAGTAGTCAAGACCGAACCAGTTACCCTGGTTACATCGGACTATAAAATGGCCCCACAGCAGCTAACACAATTGCATCACTCCAATTTCCAAAATCCTATGGGAGTGATTGATGTTAATAAGATGGGTGATGGGCTTAAATTCAGTGATAGTCCTACCCGGGGCACAGACTCAAGGAAGAAAGAAAGGCGAAAAGTCCGTGCATCATCACTGGAAAGTTCAACTGAAAGTGATGGTGCAGGCAGCAGCAGTGTGGAAAGTTCTGGCCAAGTGGCTGCAGTATCCAGCACTGCAGGCTTCAAGTCTCCTATGCAGCCATCGAGTACTCCCTCTGTGTCAGACTCAGAGGGAGAGAAGCCAGTGAAGAAAAAGCGCAAACGTTGTGGAGAATGCACAGGCTGTCAGCGCAAGGACAACTGTGGTGACTGTGCTCCTTGCCGCAATGATAAGAGCCACCAGATCTGCAAGATGCGCCGCTGTGAGAAACTCACAGAAAAGAAGGTACCGGTAAGCAAACACCACACATTTTCACCAGGGCATGGCAGCCCTATGTTGGTAAATTTTTGTCAGTAGTTACTTTCAGTAGAAAAATTCTTTTAAATTCATTATTCTGTCCTAGGTAATATATTTTGTTTTTGTTTTTTCAAAAATATGGATATGATAATTTCTGGTTTGCCCTGGTGTTTCTGTAGAAGTGTTGTATATAACATTCTTAAAAATGCATGAATTGTGTACTCTATCATTTTCAAAAAATAATATATGCATGTTGTGTTTTGTATAAATGTATTTTGTTTTTGTTTGGTCTTTATTTCATTACTTATAGTGGTGATATTTTAGTAAAGGTAGAATAATTTCTATGGAATTTCTAGATTTCAAAAATTCTATTATTTGTGGAACACTTATTGTAGTTGATATCTTATTGTAAGTGCCACTCTTCATGCCAGAATTGTTGATTCTGTCATTTTGCCCTTCTCAGAATGTTCATTAGAACGTGTATTCGGTTAGTTCGAGGAAGAAGCGTTTTCTTTGCATCTCGGGTGGAGCTACTAAAAAGAAAACATCGACTAAGTTTTATTTTAATACGTCCGGACTCTGGGTGTTGGTGCACAAGTTGTTTGTCTAAACATTTTTGACTTTCCTTTTCGAGACGCAGAAAACAGAAATGACTACCACTTCGCCTGAAATTGAATTGTGGACTTTTCTTCAACTTCCGTTTTCTTAATAATAAGATTCCGTGCTTTTATCAGATAGTAAAGAGCGTATGTCCGAATTTCTGAAAAGTTATTTGTTTAGGTTCATAATGCGTGTGACCACTACGTACCGTCGATTGGTAAAACCAAGCCCCAGGGTATGCGACTACAGGCGAAACATTAAGAGAGTGTATTGCTCTCTGTCGACTCCCATTTTTGTATAATATAATGCCCCTATACTATTATAATTATGTTTTCGTTCAATCCATTAAGTTTCTTCTAGGGTCCCTAGATGTTTTTCTTGACACAAAGTTGCACCATTTGACGGTACATTACTACCTGAAAGCGACTATTAACAAATTTTTCATCTTATTCCTAGATGCGCTTGTAGAGTAAATTAGTAGATGGACGGGCTTGCCTCGCCTCATGAACGATTTCGGCTTCTCAATTTTTTCCGAAATATTTTTGATTGTTCCTGTTTATTCAGACGTTTATGAAAATGTCTCGGCCAATCCTGACGTATGAATCATCCACAATCGAGAGATGTGGATCGAAATATATACTGTCGCTAGGCGCTGCTAAAACCATCGAAATATTTCTTTCAAAACGTTTTTTCAGTGGCGGATTGCCCTTACTTTTCTATCGAATTATCGAAACGACTAATTTATTAGGTTACTTAGCGATTCTTGAAGATATCAGATTTCTAGTAAAGTCGACTGCGTTAGGGCGAAGATTTTCAGACCTTCCTCAATCTGAATCGTCACAACCAAGAATCCGCGCAGACTATTTCTGCAAGGATGAATTAATCTTTGACGAAATGTACGTATGTAAAGACCACTACCAAATTAAATTGATGCACGAGAACGAAATGCAAGTTTCCTCAATTTCTTAGTTTGTCAATGATTTTATGGCATTGAGTTTTCAAACATTTCGCGTCTCAATCTTCGTGAAAAGTGTTCAAGTATTTTACAATACTTCTGCGAGATCCTTCTAATATTGGGCGTTGTATGTTGTAACTGTAAGGTTTTCTTTTTTTTGACTGACTTTCTTGCATACGTCATATCGGCGAAATTAATTTTGAAGAGAAAAATGCCAGGAGAGAGTATTAGCGAAAGGCATCTTAGCAGCCTTTATCCGTTTTGGCAGCTCCTGAACACTTTATACGTATTTTTTTGGGCTTGATGCCAAAAATTTTCCTCCGTCGCCCCAAAATGCTGGAGTTGCTCTTTTGCCTGCTTCCGGGATCGTTGCCAGACTTTTAAGGCAAGCCTGCAAGTGATGTATGGAGCTTCGTAATCGGGTGCAAACTTAGCAAAGAACACTTCGCCTCGCCGCGCTCCCGCCCCTTCCTTCGCCCGTGCCATTGTCTTAATAAGGGCGCCTTATTCATTTTTTGAGGTGGAGATGTAGAATGCATAATACCACAAGTAAGTTTGTTTTAGGTAACTTTCCGTCTTAGAACGATGAAAATGTAAACTTTACCTACTCGGGTTTTCCAATTGTTCGATGTTACTCGGAGTTACAAATTAATTCCGACGTGCGGTGTTTGCGAACGCGCTAATAAATGTAGAGAAGAGAAGCGCGAGGATGGATCGTTTCCTTTGTGGTCCCTGCTCGTTTCTGTCCCCGAAACTGAAGTCTTTAAATATCTCGCTGGAAACGCATCTGCGGTCCAGCTGTTTCTGGAAACCTCTAGAAGTTACGCTCGAAATAGTCCTTTTTCCGTAAAAGATTTTCTTCAACTGTATTTTTGTCCGGAAAGAAAGAAAATCTATATGCAGTAAATCTCGTTAGGTGTACTGGCTTAACACGAATTGCGCCAAAAGACGTACAAAATTTGGATTGCGGTAATGAAAGAGTTAAGCGGACATATATAATAATCGGATTAACAAGAATGTTTATGACAGGAACACCGAATTTTTTTGGTATCTTAGAATTCATGTATAATATTTCGTGTTCGATTCCTGAAGCAGTGTTCAGTAGATCAATTAACATTTGACGAATCAAACGCGACTCAAGAAAAATAACATTTTGATTCTATTGAACTACACGTTTCACTGTTGGAAGATACACGTGAGAATCGTACCTCGAGTTTTGCGCTTCCTTCAGTATTTTGTGTAGAGGGGACGCGAGATTTCCTCCCCTATCCGAATCTATCGGCCATCAGAAGTTAGGAAACCTACGACATCAGGAAACAGTTGCTTCATTCTTCGTCATATATCAGCGCAGTATTCTTTCCCGACTCCGGCTCGACAACGCTCGTATTTCTCGATGCCCTCTTCCTTAGCCAAGCGGCGACGGAAGGTTCAAAGAATATGCGGAATGAAATCGAAAAGCCAGCCGCAAGGCGGGCGAGGGGGCGGTCGGAAGCGTGGGGAGGGGGGGGTGACAGCCGAAGGAGCACGTGCGCCGGGCGCGGGAGGAAGCGGGCGAGATTGGATCACGACCATATTTTCTGGCGGGGCGCGTGGCGGCTTGCCGGTGCGTCGGCGATGGCGACGGGGGTGGGGACCACCGCCGCTGCCGCCACCGCCACGCCCGCTCCCCTTGCGGACATAAACTGCCTGGCTGCAGATCGCTGGACACATAAACTCGACCGTATTGTACGGCGGGCTTATCGACGCGTAGGCCCAGGCCGTGGCGGCGGCGTGATGGTGTAGGCTGTTGGAACGACCGGCGCGCGGGCTAGGGCCCGGACCGCGCAGCTATTGCCGCCGTCGCCCGTGACGGCTGAGGCGATGGCGGGGCCGGGCGGGCCGCCGCCAAGGAGCCCCTACCGCAACGGAAGACGCCGTGCGAGGCGCCCCGTCCGCGCCGACTCCGGAAGAAGTCCGCCCCTCCCGCGCGCCCACCTCCTCCTCCGCCGCCGCCGCCGCCGCCGCTGCTGCTCCGCCGTGGTCCGGCGATAAACATGGGCGCGGGGGCGGCCGGGTGGCCGGCGTACTCGAAGCGCCCCGGCCGCAGGCGGACTGTCGCCCTTGCCTTGGGGTCTCCGAGATCCCTTTTAGATGGTCGTCATTCAAATACCTGGACAGCAACACATCGTGTTCCGTACTTCCTCAAGCGTATAAGAATTCTGTTGTTGAATTGCCCTTTACTTTGTAGTTTGAATAAGAAAGAAGTTACGGAATGCCCGTTTGTGAAGCCAATTTTGTTTCTGTTACTATCGTACAGTACTCTGTGGAATGGTGAATAACGGAGAGCAACTTTGGCGGTATGTGGTCACCGTTCTGCTCGGAAACGTCTCCTTTCACCGTGCACTTTGTTCACAAAATATGCCTATATCTCAAGTTTTCGAGATTAGTACAGGTATTTTCTGAAAATTAGTGGATTTTGTAGTGTTTTTTATGGATAACATTGGAAATATGACGGTATACGTGTTTTAAAACGATCGGAACAAATGTTAATTCTTAAATTTATGTTATGGAATCGTGCATTTTGCATAATTGGTGGCTTTTGGTGGGCACATTTTATTGCAAATCTATTCTGCGTTCGAAATTTTGTTCAAAAATTACCATCGTGATTTGCTAAAAAATACATATATTAACGGGAAACGAAAAGTTATGCAATTGGCAAACATTCGAAATGTAACAATAGAGGAACAGCTCCCGAATAACTTCGGAGTGGAGCGAGTGCAAGAGACGTTCCCGAGCGCGCCTCCACCTCCCGGCGTTCGCTAGGGGGATCTCTGACTCGCGAGTTACGGCCGTAGACGTTTCCGTTTCGGAACAATGGGCTGCGGATCGGGGAGCGCGGCCGAGGAAGATACCCACTCCTCAGAAAAGTTGGGGGCTCGTGGATCGCTCGGAAATTTCGGGGCGGCGTAACGTATTTGGGCGAGTTGACTCCTGCTGTTGCTCGCGCTAACAAACATATCGTGTTTTCTATTTTGCCCGAGGGAAAGAAAGAAGCGAACACACACCGGGCCGGCAGAACGTTAGGAGATGATTAGATAAGACGCCGTTGGGCCACCTCACCGTGTTATTTTCATGTGATACGTCAAGGTCTGCGACGGTGTTTTGAGATAGGGTTCCTCATAGATATCGGTCATTTAAATTAATCTAACATTTGTATTTAAGTAGTTTGTAAAAATGTTAGTAGTTGCAAGAGGTGTGTGGCATTCTGTTAGAGAGTATTACGTCGACGACGAATGAAAATCTGAGAAACGGTGACATATTTATATACTAATTTAGTACAGTCCTACATGAAATTGTCTTGAAAGTTTTGTTATTACAAAAGACAAACAAAAATTGGTGCAGTTACCAGCCGATAACGACCTGCAGCTTTGTAACTAGCAAGCGGCATTTGCACGTTGTA